ATACCTCGCAATTTTGGAATAGACAAAGTATTGGTTCTGCCAAAATATCACTCAGCAGCAAATTTTTAATTTGAAAAAATGTCTCTATGATATTCGCAATTCTACATATCTTTCGCGCATCTTCTGTTTCCTTCTTTTTGAGAATTCATCTTTATGCATTAGGATGCGCAAGAATAAAAAAACAAACGACAGCTTCCCATTACCTTTCGTAAATATCTTTCATAATTTTTTATAAGAGAATTGTAAAACGGCAGTTGCCTTCTAAAGCCTAATCTTTGCATGCTTTCTGTGGTCTCTTGCGAGTATAATCTAGTTTGTCAAGGCTTTCTGCTAGCACATTGCAATCAGGTTGGGAATTATCAACTACTATAATCACCACGATAATTTTTGAGGAGAAGGAGCAGACTCTTACGGCACTTTAGTTGTAACAAGTGAAACAAAGCGTTCGGTAGATTGCTGCTTAATAAAGTAATACCTTTACATCCTTAACCAACAATTTTTCAAATCAAATTGAAGCAAAATTCGTGAAAATCAAACCCAACTAGACGGTAAATCTGAGTATAGAGTGGTCTACATCTCTCTAATCTATCTTTTTTGTTTAGATGATGCAACAGAAACACGGAGATCATCCACATGTGATTGTCCGCGGCAAACATATGGTGTCGAATACGAGCATGCGGAATTCAAGAAGCCATCGATGGACAATTGTGAATATCAGCACTGCATATTTGAGGTGATCTTCATTGATCTTATTAGATTGCAATTGCCCTAAAATTTGCTACAAATATCAAATATTTGGACCTTGATCTATATTAAGAAATAATTTTTAAAATAGTTTTAATCAACAAACAAACAGGTAGTAATGTAGGCGGGGCTTGAGTCAGCCAATCAGGGGCAGTTCCGCATATAGCGACCAATCAAGGTTGCTGTATCGCGATTGGTCAGCTAAATTATTGTAGGGCTATTTAGTACGAAAATCTTGCTGCTAATTTCCGTGGCACAGACAGTACAAAGGAAATCTTGACAGCTGTAATAATTCAAAACCCATTGACAAAGTAGGCGCTTGCATCTGTAAAGAAATCCTAATTTGTTTTGCATAGCTTAATTTTTTACTAGATCTTTATTCCTAAAGTAGATTTTTAGAGAAAAATTTTTCACAATTTTGCACTGCTTCATAGCAACCAAATACTACATTTCAGATTCAACCCTCACATAATACAAGTCTAGCAGTAACAATTGAATCGGTATCACTTTCTGTTCGCGATACTGTCCGAATTTATCAGTATTTTAATGCGAATGGAACTGAAATCGAGTTGTTGCATTGTGCGGAGCTAAAAACGTGAGCTTATGCTAACAAAGCCACACTACTTTATTAAAAGAGATTTAAGCAATGAAAACCTTCCAGGATGCATGAAAATTATGTATTTACCGCAGCCGTTGGCGTAGGTTTTCGCATACATTCTCATTCCTACAGACGATATTATAGCGCTACATCTTTCACAATCAGTTTTGATCGAGTTGGATCAGGTTTGTGCACTTTCATATCTGGGGATCAGTTTTCGCCTTAATTCTCATCCAGTTTTCCATTTATCTTTGTTTCAAATAAAAAATCCATGTTTTCAAGTCGTCTTTTCCTCCTTTTGATTTCCCCAAAATTTCTTTGGAAGGATGGTATAGACAAGTTTATTTTAGAGAAATTGTCAGACCACTGGAATTTCTTTAATCTCAGCTTGAAAGAGAAATTTTGATGTATAGGAAAATTAATTACTGCAACTCGTTAATAGTAAGAATTGTTTTTGATTTTTGTAAAGAAGAGTAATTATTTGATTTGATTTTTCAAACTGGCCCTTCTCTATGCTTCAATGCGAATAGTTTAGATTTCACCATTTGTAGCTTGTGAAATTCACACCACACAGCAAAGCTTACATTGTAGCCAAATCTGGGTATAGTGTAGGATGTGCAAGTGCACGTTGATGACTAGGCAACATTCATTGAACTAATCTGCTTACAGAGATAAAAACCTGCCCATATCCACTTCTCGTCGCCTCTCCGGACTTCCAACAAATTCCCATATTCGAGCGAGCTGGGCATATGTGTAAGATTCCATATCATTTCCTTCTAAATAACTTATACCCAGCGGAAAACGAGTTACTCCGACCGAAATGGTTTTCACAATACCACATATAGTCTTTTAGGCTGTCCATTCCGACTCGTATCATCAGTTCCTGGCCGTAAACTGTACTTTATATTCAACCAATTGAAAGGTGTTGTTTACGATCAGAGGGGTGATGAAGAGATTTTCTTCAAGTAAATATCTTAT